GATTAGCTCGTTGATCTCCTTAAGGGCCCGCTGGTCGAGTGGCGATGGGAATGATTTGATTACTTTAACTTCCACATCCTGCACTGAATGCGGCAAGGGTTTGGCACACAGCTTGGCCAATAGGCGCACGCACAGATGCTCCACATATAGCAAGGCATCTTCTTTGGCTGTTACGCGCGGATTCACCTGCTCCAGCACCTTGCGCAAAGATTGTATAAATAGCCCGCGCCAACGGGCCGCATTCTCGTCCTTTGTGAAGTCATAGCCATCGGTGTCCTGCACGGTGGAGGCAATGCCAACGCTAATTCCATGGCTGCCAACGCTGGAAAACATTTCTGCACTCCACACACACACATGCGTATACACACACACACATGCACATGCACACGCATACACACACGCGCGCTCTTGTTATTAGTCAACAGAAACGTCTTTTTCGGGCAGCAACATTTTCTAGCATTTTTTTCTCTTTTTGTTTGGTTTTCTTCTTTCTTGTTTTTGCTTGGTGATTTACGCTACGCGTTATGTATTTGCAATCGTAATGGAACAAAAACAAAACTTTGTTTTTACATGCTATACACACAATTTTTTCAATATATTTTCTCTGCAAATTCTGCTTATTACGGTGTTAAGTTAGCTGCAATACTCGTTTGTCAGTGCTGTAAAACGTCACTCATATATATTCGATAAGCGATAACATACATGCTGTCTTGCATATTTTTAAATGTAAATAAAATGTCCATAACAGAATCCAATTCTTAAAATCTGTTTTTAATTTTTTTTGAATGAGAATTATGAAAATATAAAATTAATATTAACAATTTGATTTGAACATTTTAAAGCGGGCCCAAAATGTAATTATTATTTTTTTAACTATACTACATTTTCAATCCAATCGCGATAATAGAAAACTCTAGTGTAATGTGTAAATGAATTATTCAATTCGCAATTGTCTCCCCTAGAGACCCCAAAAATTTCAAATAACCAGTTAGTAAGCTTCGGATGTGAAGTAAATAACGGACCGCCAGAATCATTTGGGCAAACATCTCCAAAGTTTTCTTTCGGCTTTGTACAGATGAATCGATCCGCGTTCAGCTCTTCTTCAGGTTTTCACAATGTTTAATATCCACAGAAACCAACTGTCCCGATTGCAAAGTATCCGCTAGCTGGTTTGGTTTTACAAAGCCCCAACCAGCAACTTGATACTCTCCATTGGCACTTAACGGATTCTTCGGTAAGCAAGCAGGCTTCACCTTATGTAATATATTTGCCGGTTCTGCCAATTTCAATAGAGAAATATCTGCCATTATAGTCGGGGTGTACAATTTCTGTGGCATAATATCGTGTATCAGATGAAATTCTTTCATGGGCACCCAGTCGAACAAAAATCTGACTATTAAGATTTATTATATAATTTAATATAAAATAATTCTTTCAATTATAATTGACTTACAATCCTGACTCGTTTCTTCTCGCATCGAAGACAGACAACTGTGTAATCTGAACTTTTAGTTTTCACCTCTACCAAGGCCATAAAGGGGTATTCATTCTCAGCTGCTGTAGAAGAGTTCCTGATAAGCAATGTTGTTGGACAGAAGCCTTCTATCTTTGAGTATTTCAAACAATCTGATATATATATGATTATATATATATATATAAGAAAGAATAACTAAATCGACTGCCACTGCGAGTCAAGTTTTGTGAAAAGTATGCAACAATTAAGTTCCCATAGTAAGCCACCACTTCAGCCAATGAGCGTTTATGCGTGCGTGCGTATGTCTATGTGTGTGTGCGTATGTGCATGTGCGAATAATTATTGAAATATCAGTTGCTCGAAGGGCTCAGGGGATCTTGTAGTCGGGCAGACTCGACTAAAGCTTTCCTACTTGTTTACTTTATAGATTATGTAGACCGTGCACAAACGGATCGATCAAATTAGGTATTCATATCATCGCAAACCAAAAGGCCTAAATATATACATATATATACATATATAGATTATGAAACAAGTAAGAAAGCTGCAGTTGAGCGTTACCGACTGCAGAATATACATTGTCAGATCCATATCCTGATTTTTTATATTTCAATATGCGTAGTTATATTCGGCATATCTGATTGATTTTGGGCTATCAACCTGAGGATATGTTCAAAATTTCAAGCCTGTATAACCATATAGTCAAATCCGTTTAGCCACGCTCCCCCCTGTAAGCTATTGTGGATACTTAATTTGTGATCGGTCTTTATAGGGTAACTCATGTCTAAAATTCGGGCTTTCTAGCACTAAAACTGTTGAAGGCAAGTGCGTCCGCCTCTAGTGCGCGGATCGACGAAGTCTTGACACTTTATAATTTGAAGGTACATATATAACAGTATATGTTCCAGATTTCATGTCTCTAGCTTTAATAGCGACTTAAAGGCTTAAATTCATTGTGACAGACGGGCGATCAGCAAGACGGACATTTTACTTTTTGAATGAGTATTAACATTCTTAACCATATTTGTTTTAGTAGTGCAGTACAGGGTGTATCATGGCTCTGATAACTTTTTTCCAATCCTAAAACTTTGTATTTCTCTGTATTTATACCCTGAACTCATTGAAAATGGGAAATCAAGGTAATGGTTTTATAAAAGTATTTAACAGGCAGAAGAAGGCGTGGCAGACCCCTCAAAGTATATATATTCTTTATCAGGGCGACCAGCTGACTCGATTAACCTCTGTCCGTCTGTCTGTACAGTCGTCCGTCCACCTATCGGTATGTACGCAATAGTCAACTTAACGGGTGTAGTCAATATTAAGTACTTACGCTCTTCATATTCAGGAGCAATTGTTTTTTGTTTTTCCGGACAGTGAACTGTATAGGTTGTTTTGTTGCAAAAGTTTACAAAATCAAAGCTACTGAGCCTTGTAGCTATATACTTTACATCTTTGCAATCGTTAATAGGAACACAGTCGTCACTGGCAGATATTGTATTGCTTGGATAACAATTACAAAAGGCTAACAATAATAAAAGTAATATTATCCTAATATTGCAACACATTTTATAGATCGTTTGCCGATATGTCGATTTCATCTGATTCAAGTCTTGACCAGTACTGGGCATCATGGTCTCAATATTATTTAAATAATCCCAATGCCGAAAGTGCGAATAAGGTTCCGACTTTAAAAGAAGACTTTTATTATCAGTAACTCAAATTTTAGGTCTTTAGCTTCAATCATGCCCAAAATATATATTTTGAAGCTAAATTTCTTATATCAAACGAAAAATCCAAACTCGAAACACTTTTTAAAGCTATATGCCGGGATGGCTCGTTGCGAATTAGTTTTTATGTCTTCATTGCTTTCAAAACGGGATCCATGAAGTGGTAATTTTTGTTTTGGAATCAGGAAAAAGTCACACGGGGCCATATCTGGAGAGTACGGTGGTTGTTCGATGATATTTGTTGAACAACACCACGAATTCTTCAGTTGAAGAAATCAAAGGTCATCCTGAGCGTGGTAAATCGTCACTTCTTCTCGCCCCTCTTTGAACGATTTATACCTAACGTAAGCTTGAGTTTTTTACATGGTTGTGTCACCAAATGTTTTTTCAACATTTCCAACGTTTCCAAAATTTTGTTTGAAACACAAAATTTCACACAAACTTCTTATTCGATATTTTTATCCATAGTAAAAATCGCAACGCACACAAAAGGTTGACTTGTTCCTAATGACGCCGTAACCAAACAAATGAAATATACATAGCATTAAAAATTCACAGAATAGTGGCTAACAGTTGTGCCAACCTAGGAAAATTTTATGTAATTTAAAATAAAAATTTCCGGGAACTTATTTGACAGAATCTATTTACTTATTATTTCGATCCGTTTTACCACGCTCCTAATGGGAGTCTGTTAAATTTTAGCTTCTAGTTATACCCTGAACCCATTGAAAATGGGAAATCAGGGTATAATGGTTTTGTGAAAAGTATGTAACAGGCAGAAGGAATCATCGCAGACCCCATAAAGTATATATATTCTTGATCAGGACGACGAGCTGAGTCGATATAGCCCTGTCCGTCTGTCCGTCCGTCCGTCCGTCCGTCCGTCCGTCCGTCCGTCCGTCCGTCCGTCCGTCCGTCCGTCCGTCCGTCCGTCCGTCCGTCCGTCCGTCCGTCCGTCCGTCCGTCCGTCCGTCCGTCCGTCCGTCCGTCCTTCCGTATGAGCAANCACACTGCAGCGCAGCCCAAGCGCAGTCGCTGCTTACTGCACAGTTAGCAGAGCGCAGGCTTATGCGTGCGTGTGGTTGCATGTGTATGTATGTGTGCATAAAAATGCAGAATGATTAGAAAATCAGCTTAGAGGGTTCAGGGTATCTCCTAGTCGAGCAGTCTCGACTAGAGCCTTCTTACTTGTTTTAAAACTGTAAAATGTACAGTTTTACCCGATGCAACGTCCCAATGGGCGTAGATATATCCGACATACTTCTTTGATCTTGGGTATTCAACATGAGTAGACATTCTAAATTTTAGCTTTCTAGCCCTTCAACCAATATTATAACGGGAAGATATGTTCCTAATTTAGGTTCCCAAGCTTGAATATCGTCAAAAAAATTCATTCATACAGACAGACAGTCATTGCACAAAACCAATATACTCATTTCACTCTCGTGAATAAGTATAAAAAGACAGCCAAAAGAATACATATACGAAATTAGCTCAGCTTTCCAGCGCAGCAAGTTCTTCAGCATTGTTCATCAATTAGCATTAAGCATTTTATTGGCTATTTGCAATGGTCCCACCATTTGATAAGTAGATTAACAAAAATAATCAAAAACTTGACAAGCGGAACGGGTGTATCTTGGACAGTTTTGTACATTTTTTAGTACTGAGAATTATGTCCTAATTTACTACCGACTGTAACAACCAAAAACAGCAGTTACTTAATCTTAAGTCACAATATACGATTGATTGGATTTTCAATATAAGAATAATATTACTTTTATCTAATTCCTAAGTAGATACATTCACTATTAATACGAATTATCTCTCCAGCAGCGTGCCTCGTTGCTTTTTCTGTGGAGGCGCGATTTCTTCGCCCTTGGGCTTCGCACCAAGATCCGTCAGTTTGCCACCTTTGCGTTGCAGTTGCTTCTCAATGATACGGGCGTTGTTTGCATAGCTATCGGCGATCTCACGCTGCAATAAATATCAGTTAAATATTTTGTACAACAAATTCTTATATATTATTTGGCTCACCGCCTCAATTTCATCCTCTTCCTCGTCTATTGTGGATACGGTTACCGAGCTAAATTTGCCCATATTCTTGGTGTGGCGCGTGACCATAACTTTTTTGCCACTGGCATCCACAATGCCGGAATCCTGGCCGCTGGGAGAAACTGTTGCTGCCATTAATGTTGGAGCCGTTGCCACATGGGTTGTGCTGATATTGCTGATGAAGTTTTTGTTGTTACCTGCTTTGGCTTTTGCCTCCGCTGCCAGAAGCTGGGCGAGCGGTTTTTCTCCTTTATTCTTATGCAAGGCATTGTTCATGACAAAGGTCACATGGGAGTCGGAATCATGGCGATAGTACAATGGCAGATTACAGTTGCGACACTAAAAAGTATATTATGTTTAAATGTAATTCGTTTTGTATAGGGTAAAAGCTTTTTTGAGTGGATAAAAGATTAAATGTGTTGACTGTGTTAAAATCTTTTGCTTTTGTTTATCATTTTATCTTTACATAGACTTCACGGACTACGAGTCTCACATTCAAGTCCTAGCTATTCACTCATTGACAGTTTTTACTGTGCTTCTTTACCCTTACACATATGTATTAATATATATGTACATACATTATAGCGGTACTGCTTTTCAATGCCCTTTCCTTTGCGTCGTATGTAGATCATCTTAGGCGTTGGGTTGTAGGTCAGCTTATTAGCGTGCTCATTGGCATCAATAACACGAGCATTGTCTGCCTCGCGCAACGGCAACTGTTCTAATGTGCAATCTATAATAAACATTTGTATATTTAATATAAACATTTAATCATAAAAAACACATTGTTACGAACCCAAAATCAGCGACATTTTGCTACACAAGCAATAGTATATGTTTAACGGTTTCTCTTCGTTATATTCCTCTTGATCTTTTGTATCTGAGCAGACAATGCTACGTGATACAACTTTCGGCATATTGTTTTTCTATTATTAAAACAACAAAATGTATTTGAATCAATATTTATATTTTGGTCACAACGACAGCCAATTTTTATTCTCAGTGTTGGATAAATACATACATATGTACATCTCGCTCGACAATCGACTATCGATAACTTTACCACATTGTTGCTTGTTGTTTTTGCATTACTTATGTATATTATTGTTAGCAAGTGTTTTACATGAGCCCTACGATTAAACCTTCACTAAAAGAAATTGCGGAATTGTGTTACAACAAATTTCGTGATTTGCCAAAAACTGGGAAGCCCGTAACAAAACAATGGACAGTTTTAGCAGGCATAGTGCAGTACGACAGAGGAGCACAATCCGGCAAAGTTGTTGCTCTTGCCACAGGGTTGGTACGAATTGAAGAAAAATTAATTTTTGTTTATGTTTATCCAGTTTTAATTAGTACTAGGTGTATCGGCGCAAGTAAACTTTGTAATAGAGGCTATATACTCAATGATTGTCATGCTGAGGTGTTAGCCCGTCGCGCCTTTTTACGTTATTTGCAAAACGAGCTCCTGAATGCAATGACGCAAGCGGGTGATGTGGACCACTCCGTTTTTATCTGGAAGCCAGCAACAGGTTGCTTTGCGCTCAACGAACAGCTGGAGTATCATTTTTTAAGCACTCAAACGCCGTGTGGCGATGCATGCATTGTAGCTGACGATGCACACTTAAGTGGAGTTCCAGCAAAACGATCGCGCTTAGACTTGGACACTGCGCAGCCACTAATAAATAAATCTTCGGTATACACGGGTGCTAAACTAATAAATCGACCGACTAATCCCCTCTTTGATGACATGTTGCAAACACCAGCAGAGCTGCGGACGAAACCGGGTAGAGGCGAACGCACTTTGTCTATGTCATGCAGCGACAAATTGTCACGTTGGAATGTACTCGGAGTTCAAGGGGCGCTGCTCGACATGGTGATAGACAAACCCATATACTTTATTAGCTACAACTTTTGTTGTTCCGAGGCAAATCCTAAGAGCCTGGAACGTGCCATTTACCGTCGCTGGCAGGGCAGAGAGTGCAATCTGAAACGCTATCAACCACAGCAGCCATGCATACGCGTAGATGATAATTTAACCTTTGAGCTGGCGCAGCGCATGGATTGGCAGCCAGCGCCCAGCAGCTTGATATGGGCGCTAGTGCCAGATTTGCTAAGGTGAAGTCTTCAAATATTATTTAATATATATA